TTGATGAGGGTTACAACAATAAAGTCCCCATACTGAATGAATAAAGATCTGTAGTATTAGTGTAGTTACACTTAGGGTCTAAGGATATAATAATAAATTAGCCCATAATTATGTACTATTTTTGAAAGTAATATATTTTTATTGATTTAAACAATAGAAACAAAGTGACTTACTCCACAAATAAGGACGTTCAACGGACTGCTTATGTTGCCCTTGTTCCACTAGTTTTTCTTCTCTTAATGCATGGGTGTGCTCTCCATCCACATCCTTTAGTTTCACTGTTTTAGTTCAATATTTTATAATAATAAATGCATATAGCATTTAAACTAACGCTCAGTCTGTGATTTACCCACTTTCAATGATATACTATATATAAATTAAATATCGAGAGATCAAAATACTTGTATTCATTAGAATAAAAAAAGATATATATATGTCAACATAAAAATACTAAGTAATATAAGTATATATATATAACGAAATAGAGATTTACTTGTCATATAGAATCAAAAGAAGGTTAATTCATACCACTGAAAAAAACAATAAGAGGTCACCCTACAACGCACTTGCCTTAATTTTACCATTTTACATCCCTGTCTGGTGTATGTTTCCTGAGGTTCACCTCCTTTACGCACGTTGCCCCCTGTCATTGTTCAGCGAGAACACTCATTGCTGTTAGAGATGCAACTAGAACGTGATATTAGGCGTATCGGATGTGGCACTGATGATTTCGTCATTGTTATTGTCGCGGTCATCGTCGGGGTAAAGGGATTTGGGGCATATATCCTCGTATGGTGCACACTCGATTGCGCCGGATTTAAACTCACCACTGTAGTCCGAAAGCACAAGGGTAGTACCGGGTGGACAGTCCACGAAATCACTGGCACCCTTCACGCGCACACGGTACCTCGAGGTGTCCTTGTCACACTGCACGTCTGCGCAAATAGAGAGCATATTTTGGTCACCATTTAGCCTGAGAATAGTGCTCAGGTCAGCTGAAGGACATAGTTCATATTTTAAAAATACAGGTCTAGACAGGGTTTTTTTCATTTCTATCCTTATCTTTTTTTTTATATATTCTATTGTGAGCTGTTAACACTTCATCTACTTTTGAATAGCACTAATAGGAAGTCTAAAGTACTATGAAAATAATGGTTAGGTTCTACAATCACTTAAATCGAAGTATCTTTACCCATTGGATCTGATTTTTAGCTGCCCTTTACGGGCATTGTTATGACTTTGAATAGTGTTGCGTCATTCGGCTTCGTTATTTTGAGAGGTGTATCTTTAATGGGCTGTAGTGATAAAGATTGTATGTTAGTTTTATTTTTCAATAATAATAAATAGTTGAAGACGCCAGAGAGTTTGGAGAAGGTTAACAGCTCTTGGGGAAGAAGCTTGGAAGATCCTGACCAATCGAGCCTGACTGAGTAGAACTATCAAAGCCTCACGAGATGTGGAGGCTGTCTGGCCCGCACTGGCCCTCTGTATGGGACGGTGACCTCGAGCAGTAGAGGAATGTTGGGATCCACCAAAGGTTTTCATGGAAAGTGGGTTCCGTAGGTGTCGCAATAAATTTTATTTGCGGGATAGGGTCATTTTCATCTTTCCGATAACCATCAAAGGGGGGGGGGAGGGGGAGGGAACTTTAAATAGGCGGTTTGGTTTGTATTTGAAAGGAGGGGGGAACCCCTAGTCTCCATCAAGGAGGTCCAAGTGGCGGTTCTGACGCGTTTATTTCCAAAGGGGAGCCCCCAACATTTGCATCATTCAAAAGCCGCCCTTCTCTGCTGGAAACGGTGGGCCGCAGCGGGGTACCATATTTTCATCACAATTTTCCCCCCCCGAAAGGTTCAACTGGATCGCTGCACAAATTCTTATTCCTTATCATTTTTCTGATGCGTGGGGGTCCATGGCGGTTTTGGACAAAGTTTCTCTTGGGGGAAACCCCGGGACGGAAGTCCATCGATCCCCCGAGGGCGCCCTGTTTTTTTCTACGTCTTAACAACGCTGTAAAACGTGGGGGGTGGGAATTTTTGAGGATTATTTAACCCCCCCCCGCTTTATGTATATCCAAAGTGTTTGTTTGCGACTGGGAAAGTGAAATCCCTTTCGGACCTTTGTTGTTTCTTCAAATTCCGTTGCTCAAAATCAACCTTGCGAATAAAAAAGCTGATGGGGGATTCCGCGTGCTATAGCATCTTTTCTGGAATTTTACTTTCAAAGCTATACCGAAACACTTTTCATTAGCCAGCCATTATCTAAAATTCTATTTATATAAATGGGTCACGGTTTTGCGAATTTTATTTCACTTGGTGTCGATGCTGAGGGTTTGTGTCTTTGCATATCTCGGCGTCTTGTTTTTCCCTAATGGAATTTATCCGGCGATTATATTTTTTAACGAAAAGCGAGGCGGAAAATGAATTCCACATTCAATAATTTATGACATCTTATTCATAAATTGGGGCGATTGTTCATCACATGAATCGTTTGTATCCCCTTGCATTTTCTTCCTTTATGGGATTGTTTGCCAATCAAATGGTTCGCGGATATATAGCCAAGCGCGCGCCCACCAGAAAACACAAACCCCTATGGTATGGCAAGCTTCATGGTTAAACGGATACCTTTTTTAAATATAAATAAGCCCGATGGTGGGGATATATCACCCTTATAAAGTTACTATTCTAGATTGTTATGTTGCCTTTTCCTTGCCTCAGATCTGTCCGTGAAGCCGTTGCAAAGCACCATCGCCTATGATTGCATTGTTTTTCGTTTTGCTTTACCTTTGATTGATTCATTAAAAAAAAATTGCCCATCGCCATTGTTATGTGGTTCTTTTCCCCCCTCGGTGAACTTCATTTGGTGTCAAAAAGGCGGTTTTGATGTATCACTTCTAGGTTTGAATTCGAGCCTAGTTCTTATCCATGTATCCTTATAAAGGGGGAATGCTATAACATTAGCTAAGAATGAATCACGCACAGATCTCATTGTTACCAGCCCAAGGCTTTCGTGGGATTCAAGTCCTTTGAGTATTGCGAGCCTTACCTTAATCTACTAATTTCCAGCATGCCTCATCGGCATTGCTTTCGGTTAAATTCCTTTCCGATCCAACTGATAGCCAGGATCTCCTTTGGGTTCATGTTCTTATTACACTTTATCTTATTGACTACGAAATCTTGGGATCTCTTTTACCCCCAACATATCAGACTTTGGATTCTGTTATTCACAAATTTACGGTTCCTGATAATTTTTCACTGGATTACTTTCACCCTAGGAAATTCGCTAAAGCACGACATATTTGAATCTTAAGCTAACTAGTAAATGCTATTATTTTGAACCGATCTAAGGATTCTATTCAGTAGATATTTACCAGTCGGCATGATTCCGTTTTCTAAGTATCGAAAATAAAAAAGGTCATTGCTTATGGATATTTACCTTTATATTTGATTCATCGATGCGCTATTTGCTATATATTACTATTCTTTCGTTTTCAAATGTCTCCATAAAGGCGGGTTGGGCGACCACTCGCTTTCTACCATCCTTATCGTTTTATACAAATGTCAGTATAAGGAATCCTCTTGTATTCCATCTATGGTTCTTTACGGGACCTTATTACTATGATATTTGGCCACCTGAAGAAAGGATCATTTGATTGTTATCCCTTACAAATTCATTCTTGTAACATAAAAGACTCTACAGGACAACCATGGAATATGTATTCCTTTAGATGATTCTGTATTACAAGCACATGCTTTTATTCAAAAGTTATACATATACTCCAATCCATATTAGTATTCTGTTTGTCTATATCTTTCACAGAAAGGGGTCTCTACTCAATGTATACACTCAAACAGACTACCATTATGCAAAAAGAAGCTCGTGATAATATCAGG